CAACTCTTACTTTTCATCTGATTTCATCATCATTTCCAGTAGAACAGTTTCATCAGTCACATAAGAGAAAAGACATACAAATATTCAGATACCACTTTTACTTGTTTTAACTTTCTTCATACCTTTTTTGTAATGCAGTGCAGTTACAGGCTACCTTAAGTTGTTCAAAACTTGTTGGTTTCATCTTCAAGCTTTACAACTGTGAAGACTTATAGGGTGAGTGTTGTGGGCTCATGTTTGGGGATGGGGGCCTCCAGGAGGAAATACCTAAGCCTGCTCCAAATGTTCTCCAAAAGAAATGGCATTCTCCCTCTTAAAAGCAGTTCTATAGCTGAGGGAGGCACTCTGAATTGAACTACATTCTTACTTTTTGAAACAAGCTAAGATGTCACACTATCTTAAGTGTAAAGCTGTGGGTTGGAATGAGTGACACCAACGGCGAAAGACAGAGAGAGGAACAGAAAGACTGTCAATCAGAGAGTGGTCTGTTATCACAGATGACATCATGCTGCAGAGGAAGAACATCTGTGCCTTGCGCCTGAGCAGAAACTGTAAACGTATCATCTCTGTTTGCTGCGTGTTACTAAATCCTCTAATCTGTTTGAAACACTCCTCTACCACTTGTGAAGTTTTTTTTCTTCTTGCCTATATCATAAGGCATGCTGAGTATCTGTTTCGCAAAGGCTGTTGAGATCCTCTTTCAAGCCTCTTCCACAGGCTGTCATGTGGGCTGCCTGTGACTGTCCTAGTTAGTCAGGCTTTGCAGTGATGTCAGGGTCCCTAGTGCTGGATGCAGGGCTGGGGAAAATTCTCCAGTAATTACAGCCCTCACCCAGTACCAGGCTTTAATGTCAGCAACCCCCTCCTTTCTCCTTGGCCTGTTGGATTCGGGGTTTTCCTTCCAACTGTCACTGACAACTGACCATGTCCTCATGGTGAAGTGCTTCCATCCCCTCTCCACAGTGCAGCCAGCTAACAGTTGAGCAGGAGGGGAAGTACAAGAACAGCAAGATGTGACTAATTGGCAATAAGTAACGGAGTTAGACATGTCCATCAGCAATGCTTTAATACATTAAAAGATTTCAGTTCCACTTCTGTTCACAAGAACCTTGCTGTGTGTTTTTATGAGTCTGTCTATCAGTCTAACTTGGAGCAAATCATCTTTCGATTTCCACATCTGTCAACAAAACAGACGTGTCACTCTAAAATCTGTGTGCCTTTAGTGAGTTAATTAACATTTAAGAGATGTGAGGACATGATAAGGCAGATGATTCATGAAATATGGACATTTTTAGGCCTTCTTTTAAAATTTGCTAGATCCTCTTGGCTTGGGTTGGGGCTCAAGTTTAGTCTAGATCCTTTTTATATTTTTAAACAGTGATGACCTGTCTTGTAGGAGGAGTCTAACTGGTGGCAGAAGTTGACCGTTCTGCAGTAGCTAACAGTGTTGCTAGCCCGCACCATCATAGGCATCGGCCAGAACAGTGTCATGACATACACAAGTTTAACGCTGAAATTAACACTGAATGCGGTAAAATAAATGACTTGAATACTTAGAATGCTTTACTATATCTGTAATGTTCCAACACCGTTGCTCTTGGCTAGCAAAAGCTTTCTACCGGTATAACATTTATTGTTGACTACAATCAACAACCTTTTTTTGACATAGCATGTTACTGTTTGCATCTGTGTAGCCCCTGTCAGTTGGTTACAGACAGCTCTGTTGATGTCATTGGTTGAAGCCAGTCTTCTGTACAGTGAGAGACCTTTTGTGTTGTTAAGGGGTCCCTTATTTGTCCAGGAAGTTGGTATGCTGGGCACAAAGCCCCTCTAAAACAAATCATTCCATCCAGAGCCACTCAGGAGAATAATACACTCAATAGCGTACCACTTCCGTGGCTGGCATAGTCATGGGAGGCAACAAAAGCCTCGGGGTGGTGATTTAGTGAGAACCTGATCCTGGAGCATATGGCCCCAGACAGTCCCAGAGCAGGCCAGCAGGCAGACATGAGGTGTTTGGTAGGATGGCCTGAGCAGAGGCCTCTATCTTCTCTTAACTTTCCAAAAGCCACCTCCCCTCCACCGGCTGCCAAGATCGGTGAAATAATTGGTTTCTAATGACAGAGAGGTAACAGCTGGTGTCAGGGAATCTCACAAAAGATTGTCAAGAATTCAGTGTAAGGATGTGACCTTATTGTGAGCTGTCCCAGACCTTTACGCCTTTGTTTTGTAGTGTATTGTTACAAAAATAAGATTCTTTTAGTTGGAGCTCCTTAGATATGGGTCCAAGAAAAGAGATGAGCAGATTATTTGCTCCAGCCGTGGTTATTTCTCTCACTTGAATAATCTTGTAAACAGTACACCTGATCTGAGATAATTTATGTTGTTTGTGCACCTCTCAGTCAACATGACAACTTTTAAAACATTTCTGCTCAGACACAACTCAGTGTGAGCAGGAGGATGTGTAGTGTAGTTTGTTCAGTTTTCTGTTTTTGAGTGAAGGTTAGCTGCTCTTTTGTATCTTGTCCATGCATGCTTAAACAGCCTGCTCTTTTCAGCCTCTTGGCCCTTTGCCTGAGCAAATGGATTTTGCCTTGTAAAATCTGTCATCTGGCCCATGCAACCCCCACATCTTCTTCCCTCCATTCTTGCCTCAAGTTTGATCTTTACTATGTCTGCATCCTACATCCTTTTTGTCAAAGCAGTACATAAAGCATAAGATTTGCACAAGATGACTCACAGGTAGCTTTTTCTTATACAACAGGGTCATAAAGCAGACTCTGCATCACACATGATTTGGTTTCAGCATGCACAAAGTTTTCATAAATGAATGCATCCTGGTGTTTTTAAAAGTAGCTCTCTCTGGACTATGTCATATGATTCAGTTTTCTGTTTAAAAGTTCACTCCCACTCCCCTCAAGTCTCCGGATGGCTCTGCACTCAACTGTCTCGTTACAGGAAATCAATTCAAGCTCGCCACATTGTTTGGAGTGACCATCAAGCTAACCTTAGCACACAGAGCAGACCATGGCAAATCGATGAACCGTCTCCAGCAGGCGTAAACAGCTTTGGCTATTGTAACTTGTCTTAACAATATTTCTGTCTTAGTTTTTTTTAGATGGTTACAGGTCTGCAGATAAAACTGCTGGGGCCATTCATACATGCAGCAAATAACATCATTTGTTTTATTCAGTTATGTTATTTTAATCATAATTCAGATTCTTTTTGCCCTGCATTAGAGATATTTTAAATTATTAGTCCCTGATACATTTCGGTTGTAGTATTTTGTTTCATTTGCAACAGGTTTTTAATATCATTCTGTGTATGTTACCAAGGCATCAGCCTAATGTTTATTTGCTGCTTGTTTTGTTGTGTTGTCAGCAGTTTGTATATTTTCTTGTGTTTGCTCCAGTTTTCAATCATTTGTCTATGCAGCGAAGCCTGACCTTGTGGCTGTCAGCAATAGACGTGCTAATCGAAGATCCTGGTGATTTTTGATGCCACTGATCCAAGGATGTTTTTGAAATGACGCAAAAATAGATGAGACAGAATAGACTTGTCCAGTCCAGTCTCTCAAAAACGTACCATCACTTTGCTGATTGTTTCTGATAGTTTCTCATCTACACTGTTGAACACTCTGCCTCGCGTTATGGTCAGCCTCAGCTTTGCTATAGCAAGTTATCTTTTGTCTCATTAGCTGCCTGTTCATCCCTCTGTGCTGCAGAATGGCATCAGTCACCCCTTCTAATCTCATAATGTCTACTACAGTAACTCTGTTTTGTCTACATATGAGCAAACACTACACTTCAGTTTGTTTATGTTTGCTTTGCCTGACTGTCTGCAATCTTCTGTTTACTGTCTTCATGGTGACACACAGGTTTAACCTGCATGAATTATTTGTACTTGGGGATTTTATGTTGCACTGTCTTCACAACAACACAAGAGGCGGAGATCTGTTTAAACATAGTGTTGATGGACTCTTCAATGAAGGCCTTTGTGCCCACTGGTCACTTCAACTCCCCTCCCCTTCTGCTCATTCTCAAACCAAATCCATGCTGTTTTTCAGCTGACCTAAGGTAACTTGTTAGGCAACAAGCACACCATTGTTGATCCTTTCTTTCTCTTTCTCGGTCGGTGGACTTTGATGCCCACCACTCAGTGACTCAGTGAACCCCTCCTAATGAGACCAGGGACTGTCCCATCACAGTGTTGGTGTCATTCACCCAGAGAGACACACAGCACAGTGACAACAGCTACTGGCACTACAGCTAAACACCTTCTCCCTGTCAACACAGTCTACTCCCAAACCAGAAACCCCACTTCCCACAAAAAATGCTATATTTTATAAAGCTTCATTTACTCCAGGATTACAGCCAGTGGGAGTCAGGCCAATGCAAGCTTAGCCTTGTTGCTCATAAAATGATCGGTTAGCTGCTGTTAAAATATCAACTTTTGGAGACCTTTTAATAAATCCTTGATTACACACATTTTTCTATATTGACTTTTAAGATAAGCTCTGAGTATGTTTGATCTCTTTTTCAGCCCTGCCATATTTTGCACTCCTGTATGTTCCACATTCACGCCTGGCAGCACCCACAGTCCTCCACTGTTGTCCACTGAGCAGCATAACTGGACCACTTGAATGCATAAAATGTCTGTTCATGGGCAGTGTAGCAGAAATTGAACGTCTAAATCAGATATAAGGTGTTCAGGGAAAAAAGGAGTTTGCAATGGACATTTAATTGTAATGTTCGATTTTGACACAGGTGTTGAATTTAAAATGTCTTTGTCTATCATGTAAGAACATCAACAAATTATTTTTAACATACAAGGGAGAATCAAGTCTTATGTAAGCATTGCCTAATTTATCCTTTATGCTCAATGAGCAGTTTTTCCACATAGTATGCCTCTGTGTGAACCCTGATAACCCATCACCCTATAGAATAAATTTCATGTGTGAAAAAGACATATTGCTAACTTGTCATGTTTGGTTTTTCCAGGAGGCTTCTCAGTGGTATTTCTGGCTCGAACACACAGTGGCGTCCGCTGTGCTCTTAAAAGGATGTACGTCAACAACGTCCCGGACCTAAATGTCTACAAAAGAGAGATCACTATCATGGTGAGAGCAGCATCACAGTGTTAGAGACGTTATCTCTCAAATCAACTGAAGTCGTCCTGTTTGTCTAATTGCAAGAGCTTTATATTAAATATTTTCATTCATTGTACATTAGCTTCATAAATATTGATCATGGAATAGGAAATTAAGATTCAATTTAGTTATTACCTGTGCTTAATTATGCCGCTGTAGGTTGTAGTAATGTTTGATTAGAACCGTTTACCAGAAAAGGAAATTTGCATGAGTTGAGAACTAAACACTGCTTATCAGTTGAAAATAAGTATGAAGTCATCATTTTGCTGATTCTGCTGCATTTCCCTCCAATGCTTCTCTGTCTGGAAAACCGATTCCTCTCACTTTTTGTGCTTGGAGGGCTTAATTTGCACTTGAAGACACTGTTCATTATCTGAAAAGTTCATGAGGGCATTCTTAGTTTTCAGGTATTTAATTTAAGCACATAATCCTGTTTCAAATGGGACACAAGCCCTCATAAAGACGTGTGCTCTTGTAAACCAAGGTGCCTATAAATGGCTTCATTCCATCTTCCTAACTCATCTTGTTTTCTAGCATTTCCAGTCTGGCAAGAGCAAAGGGCTTTTGGCTGTGTGCTGGGTGACATTGTATAAATGCACCTGGTCCATTGAGAGATACTTTTGATGTATCACACAGCTAGCTCTCACATGATTACAGAAAACAATTCAAGGTGTTTAATGTCATTCAAAGTTACATATTCTCATTTATTTAGTTATATACCAGACATGTACAACTTGGACAGCAGCAGATGTCTCGTCTTGAACGTTTGACCCCAGTGTGTCAGTGAACAGCTCACTCTGAGCTGTTTGGCCAGCTTTGTGTGTCTGTTCACTGCCTCATCCGCTGTGTAATACTCACCCACACAGACCCACACACAGCTGACCTTAACATTGACACAGTCCTGGCCTGTTGGGACGTTGCCTTAGGTGTGTTGGTTTCCACAACACACAGCAGTCTCTCTTCTCACACTGGCATCTAACAACCAACGAACACAAACACTGATGCTTTAAGCCAGCGAATGAATCAAGTGGAGAAAGATTAGTGGAGTTAGGAAATCAGCATGGCGTAAGAACACTAAAGAATACAAAAAGCATTGTTGCCACACACATTGATGAGCTTGATTGCATGATTGCAAAGATGAACTGGACTATTATACTTTTGCAAATGTGCATGTGGTTTTCCTCATGCGTAGTAAAACCAGGAGGTAAACACATCATAGGACTCACATGTAGCTTGTTTATAAGGCATACGTTTTTTTCCCTAAACAAATCTGCAACTTTTTGGCTAAGCTAACTAGTTTGTCTGTAACTTTTCTAACATTGACTTGTCTGAACCCTTTAATGCAGTCTACAGTCTTTTCATTGTTGCAATGCCACAAAGAAACAGCAGCATTATTCCAGACTGCAGATTTTAATACTTAATTTTGAATTGTACATTAAATATAGCAGAAACACTACATAAGTCCAAACATGAATATTAAGCAGCATTCACTGAAAAGGGCAAAACTGTGTACATAATACAAATATATCGTTTCTAATTGCCTAAATAGCTACCTTGTATATTTTGTTTATGTAGTAGGAGTAATGGCCTTTTAAATATTAAATTCTGGTTATGAATATGTTATGGAAATCTTCCATATATAATACAATCTTAATTTCTTCTTACATAATACTTGTGAATATTTGTGTCTTTCTGTCCTGACCGTTTTCACGTCTTTTCATCCCATATGTAGAAAGAGCTGTCGGGCCATAAGAACATTGTCGGCTACCTGGACTCCACAATCAATGCAGTGTCGGACAGTGTGTGGGAGGTCCTGATCCTCATGGAGTACTGTAAAGGTACATCCCTTCTGTTCTGAAACAATGACATAACCACCATGTTATGTACTCATGCACAGTTCAGCTTCATTGAAGTTGTGCTTTCTGTTTATAATATATAACTTCTGATTTTTATTTGTGTCAGGGTTGGTTTATTAGCCAACTTTATATTCTGCACACTGGGTAATAGTAATAGTAATACAGTGTAGGATTCACCAACTCAACTATAATAGGCTGTTATTTGTTATTTTTTATGTGTCTCATAGTTACATGCTCTGTTGCTGCCTCTGTCCTTTGTGTGGCCCCTCTATTGATTGTGGTAGCTCACTGACTCAGCTTGCCTTTTTAGGGCTATTTTGAGCAGTTTTGCCCTCATTGGACAAGTTTACATCCAAACTCTACTTTGGTTACTGAGAATAATCAGATAGTTAGGTGAAGCCTTTACATGGTGACATATTTTGTTTACTTAGAAATGGATTGAAACGTTTATCCTGGTCCAAAGACCTGATATTGCAATAGCATTTTGGCTAAATTTTCTGGCACACATTTTATTGGCTGTAAAACATTATGCTAAAGTTAGCTAAAAGCAGAGGATACTGTGATGTACTTCAAACATTTGAAATGTTAGTGGTTTATTGTTATAACACAAAATATGACCTTAGCCAACTTGTATTAATAATAGCAAAACATCTATCTAGATCATTTTGGGACCAATTGCTATCATGTTAATATTAGGTTTTGATCAGTCAAGTTCAGCTTGAGGGTGTGAATGTAAGTATACTTATACAGGACAACTGAAAACTATCCCAGTTGGTAAATATAGTTTGCAATAAAGTTTGCAACGGTTGAAACACCAAACATTGTTATTGGTTTCCCAGCCTGACCTGTGTTATGATCTAAAGCTGTCTTTCCACCTCTCTCCCGCAGCGGGTCAGGTTGTGAAGCAGATGAACCAGCGGTTGAATGTGGGCTTCACTGAGGCTGAGGTCCTCCACATTTTCTGTGATGCCTGTGAGGCTGTGGCTCGCCTGCACCAATGCAAGACACCCATCATCCACAGAGACCTCAAGGTGAGATCCGCAATCGTCTTAATCGACTATAACCCAACCTGCTGGAGTTCCTCTGGCCAAAAAGTAACCATGCAGCACGATATTAATAGGTTGCACATGTTAATTCTGGTTGAGCTATTTAGTTAATTCCTACTCTGACTGTTCTTCCCACTAAGTCTAAAAGGTCTTAAAAAAGGAAGAAATAATATTCCTGGAAGCAGCAACAGAATCAGTAAAAGAATAACTGGGCAGTTACTATGAGTACTTAAAGGAAAGGGTTTGACCTACAAACTTCCTCAACAGAAACCAAAAACTCATCAGAAAAACCAGCGCTGTTTGACAAATATGAGAAGCTTGGTGCTCTGCACAAAATGTACAGTGAGATGTCAACAATATCAAAAGGAGGAACTTGTGGATGGCTGCTTGAACAGTTATTTATTAAATTTAATGTCAGATGATGTTTATAAACTTAAGTGATGTAAATCTGCTTGGTCAGCAGAAGAAAGAACGCCTTAGTTTCACTTCACTGCTTGTTCTAACCCCTCTGCTTCCTTTTTACGCTCCCCCACTTCCTTTGCCAGCTTGTTCTTATTTCCTCTGCCTCCTCTTCGTCCTGTTAGTTACTCATCCACCTCCTTTTCCTCCTTCTCTTCCACCAAACATACTCTTTGTACAAGCCACAGTAGCCGGTACATCTTGAAATTCCTCACTAACTTAATTTTTAGAATAGATTTTCAAATCAAGCGTGGCAACGAGCCAGATTTACCCTCTTCTTGCTGATGCCTGGAGTCCGGCTGTTATTTCCCACCCTGGTTAAATTCTCCTCAGTGCCCCGTCAGTGGGCCACTGTGCTCTGTCCAGTTGGACAAGCCTCTAAACAGCGCGGTCCCTTCAGCTCCACAGGCCTGTCCTCTGTTTGCTGTCTGCATCTATCTGTTCAGCCTACATGGCTTACATAACATCGCAGGGACACAAAAGACCATGGAGGCCCAGTCACACATTGCCAGGGGAAGTGAGAGTGCAAAAAAAGCCCCTTAACCCTGAGCTGTCAACAGTATTGAGACACTCTATGTTGCTTTCATTAGCTCAGTTTTCCCTTGGACAGTTTGAAATTGTTTTCTCTTGGTCCTCCTTTTGGCCTCTTCTCTGTCACAGCTCCTACAAATGGCTTACTGGCTTTCTATTTTCAGATGTTCACTTTTCACATTTTACATCTTATGCCTGTGTTGCACTTTCCCTGTTGCTACTTGTCTCCAGTCTTTTCTCCACCTGCCTTTGTTACTTTCTGTTAGGTGTGTAATCTCTCTTTGGCCCTAAAATAAAAGTATTATTTAGAAACTGAGGCCTGAAACTGGAATGGAAATGGAAACACGTATAACATAAAAATCTGGAAAAAAATATCTGTTTTTCAGACTAACAATGTTTGTCTACCAGTAAACAAACTATAACAAGACTCCTGTGGCAGAATTACTGTAATGAGGCCTTGTCTCATTACTCCATCACTGTGTATTAAAGCAGTTTTGTGTGTGGGTGTGGGATTTGTGAGTTTTTACAAGCAACTTTATCCACTAATTGTCATCCTTGCCCATTACGATGTAATTAGAGATGAGATTCGGCTTGGTTGCTTGTTTATCTGTCTGCCACAGTTATTTCAGAGTCACAGCTGATGGAATAATGCGTCTCAATCACGACCACAGTCTAGCTTTAGCTAGATTATACAGGATGTAGCTTGCACATTGGAAAGGAGCTGTTTGGTCATTTTCAAACCAGTATACTAACAAAACAAATAAATAGCATTAGCAGTTTAAACCTGCAGATGTTGCTGACATGTTGTTTGTGCCACCTACAGGTAAAGAAAGTTCCAGCTTCTGCCACCTGCAGGCAGTGTGTGTTATAACTGAAATGTCCTCCTTTTGTTTTAATACATACTGTTTATGTTGTGTGACTTTTTGAGGATTTACATTAAAGATGTATACTGATTACCTAACATATTTTGTTTTGGTTTTTAGAACCCACTCCCCTAAACCCCCAGTATTTTTTTTCTTTGCACACACACAGTGACTCTCAGCTTTGTTATTGGTGTTCAGATCAGCCAGTCAAGACAAAGTTACATTCACCTGCATATGTCACTTCATAGTGTATGTTGTTGAGTTGTCATTAGTGCCTTTGCAATGTTTTAGCTATGTTTTCCCCCTGTTGTCTTTTCCATTAAAAGTCTTTAATCTTGTCTTTCTTTCTTTTCTTTATTTTAGGTTGAAAACATCCTGCTAAACGACCAGGGAAATTATGTGCTGTGTGACTTCGGCAGTGCCACTCACAAGGTTTTGCTGCCACAAAAAGACGGCGTGACTGCTGTGGAGGACGAGATTAAGAAGTATGTTTTTTCCTAATTGAAAGCCATGTTCTGCATGTCACTCAATACAACAGTTGGTAAAACCATAATATATACCTGTCACTTATATGTTCTGGATGCTGGAACAGTATTGTTTTCCTTGTCAAAGTATCATGTAAAGTTGACACTGTCATGTAAAATAATTTAAAAAAAAACCAGCATAACAGGCCTTTTTCACCACAGGAACGTTAGGAAAAACCCATGAATGTTTCTGAAAACTCAGGAGCCTACATTTCCCTGCAGGAACATGTATAGGTTCAGTTTATTTCCTCGTCCAAAAGACCCTGCTACTGAGAAAGTACTTAATGATGGCACAGGATCAAGGAAGACTTTGCCCTATTAAATATCACTCACTGACTGGTTAAACTAGTTTTGAATCAGTTTAACTAACTAATTTTCAAGATAGCTACAATAGGGATTGTGCTATAGAAACATTTCGTATTGTTATTAATGTTTTAGGAGTTTTATGCTCATTGTTTAGATTCGGGTACTTTCAAAAGCAGAAATATAACCACTCAGCAGATTTTGTGGCCGTTCCTGTCTAATATCAATGCAAACATCACACTGTCACACAAGAGAAAATTACATAGAACAACCTGACAACTCTGTTTCAAACAAAGATGTTGCCATCTAATTGGTCTAATCTGTCTGATCTTTATCATCATCTTCAAATACAGTATAAATGGAAGCAGGAACTTTCAAAAGGGACAAAAATGACCATAAATTAACTGGTAGGTTTATTTGAGGGGAAAGTTACCTGTGTCTTATCAGGGGTAGTCTTATGATGAGCCCAACAAATGAACCTGCTGTATTCCCACTTAACTCATACCACTGTTAGGCCGTCATAGCACTCCTATCTAAACTGTATTTGCCGTATGGCCAGATTGCTGTAAACCTGCTACATTTCCAGGTGTGTTTATTTGCACCCACAAAGCAAATAAGTGAGCATGCAAGTCACAATGGAAGTACATCAGAATAGCTCTATTCCCCAAACATAGAACTGTGCTAGCAAACACTCTCATTCTCTGTGCAAGTAAACCAAAAATACACATGCTACTGAAAACAATCACATTGTTGTTGTAATGGTATGTTAGGAGGTGGTAAATGTGTTGCTCCTATGGCCACAACCACTGTACTTTTGCTGTGTTAGTCTATGCGTTCTATTTGTGTCGTGTCAAATCACAGCAGTCCCTTCAGATCTGTCCTGTTGACTTTTCCCACATTTATTGCTGCAATAAAGTATAATGTGTGATTATTGGCTGTATATGACTTTGGTAAACTCTCCTTCTTTGTGACACAGGTCATACAGAAACCATCAGTCCTCTACACTGTGGTGATTCTTACAGTCTTTGCATTTTCATAACACAGCTGGGTTTATTCCAAACACAACCAGCTGCTCTGATTGTTATCCAAGTTATTGAATAGAAAACAAAATAAAATGTCTGGCTCTCTCTTAGCCTGACAGGTGAATTAGGCAGCCTTTGCTGGCAGATGATTTTTTTATTTTATTTTTTTTGTTTGTTCTGTGCATCAGTTAACAGAAGCACACGTGTCAGTCAAAGAGAAGTGTGCTTGACAGTATTGAAAGAAATATTCTAAACCTTAATAAAAAAACTAAAAAGTTCTCCATTACATGTAAAAGGCCTTCTGTAGCAGAACTACACAAGTAGCAATAAAATATACTTGAACTATTAAAAATATATTGTTTATATTATCTATATGGTATTATTGGATTCAAATTAAAGTGGCTATATTAATATTTTAAAATAACAATGTATCAAATGCAACATGAAATGAATGTGACAATGTGAAGGTTGTTGCTCTTAGTGATCACTGAATCTGCATCTTTGTAGTTAGTTTCAGGTCATTGTTTAGTCATTCGGCACGCAACCTTTCTGTTATGGGTCACCCTTACTGCTCTCGCAGAGTGATTTTCATGATCTGTCATGTTCACAACTTGTTTCAGCTGCCCCCAAGTGGCCAAAACAAATGAGAAGTACCTGAAAACTGTGTTTAGGTACAGTAATTGAGTAAACCTACTCATCTGATCATTGACCTGCCATTGACTACGTCCTGTTGTTGTATCTCACAGGTACACGACCCTTTCATATCGCTCGCCGGAGATGATTAACTTGTATGCAGGGAAAGCCATCACCACTAAGGCTGATATATGGGTAAGGTCATACTTTGTATGTGTGTACAGTACCTGTACTCTGTGTCTCTGTGTCTCTGTGTGTGTGTGTGTGTGTGTGTGTGTGTGTGTCTGTGTGTGTGTGTGTCTGTGTGTGTGTGTGTGTCTGTGTGTGTGTGTGTGTGTGTGTGTGTGTGTGTGTGTGTGTCTGTGTCTGTGTGTCTGTGTGTGTCTTATGCACCCTGCAGGGCTGGTTTGTCCTGGCAGTGTCCTGGGCGTCACTCTGCCCCGACAGGTTCCTCCTCCCTTCTCTCTCTCTATCTCTCTGTCTGTCTCCTGGCTTACCCCAGGCTGTTTGCCTCCACCAGCTCTCCAACAGTGTTTTTCCCTCATAAAACATTAAGCAACATCATTCACAGCGAAGCCAGGACTCTGCCTCGTCCTTTTCCTCTCTCCCTGCTGCCTGTCCTTTTCTATTTTCCCCGTTTCAGATAATTATGCCCAGTTGAGGACCTTGATAAGCTTGTGTGAAATAGGTCTTGGCTGTTTTTAAAGGTGTGAGGTAGAGAGGCAGGAACAAGGGCTTGGACAGCAGCCATTTTGAGGAGTGGTGTAAATTGATGCACTAAAACCCAGGGAGTTAAAACAGCCAGCATATAAAGATGTGGCTGTTGATGGGACACATGTATAAAAATGTGTGTGCTTGGTTCAACTGTGAATCAATTGTTCTAGATGTTTTTATTAAGAATGTGCCTATGAGCATATTGTATGTAAACCAGTAAACCAGTGCAAATTCATTCTGCCTTCCATAAAACAACAACAAACAAAAAACACTGGTGTCTATCAAAGCTGTCAGCCAAAGTTTTGTGCAGAAGTCATGGGAAATGTATTGTATTGTATTTCCATACGCTTCTCTAAGATGTGCATTGGATTATATATAATTCAAATGCCAGACAAGTAAAACAACATGAGTATAATCACTGACACATGTTAATACATATCGACCTCCCAGCCACTTAAAACAGTCTTTTGCCCCTGTGGCGAAATGTGTCAATTTGCACTGGTAGTTATATATGTGTGTACATTAGCAGATGAATAGACGAATAGACATAAGCTTTAAATAGGCCTCTGGTTGTAGGAAGACAACTACTGTGGGACGTTCAACAAAAACACCAACTTCCTGTGGACCACCCCCTGCATTTTCACTTCCTGTTCTATGTTTAGCCATGTTTGAAACTCTGCTGTTTTACATACATGTACATTGGGCCTCACTCAAATGTCATAGGCATTTATCCGTGCATTTTGGGGTTGTTGGCGAATATGCTGTCTGACTCAGATTAGGAGTTTAGTATCAGACTGGATTAGCTCGTTGAGTGGAGAACTGTGAAAGATATCCGTCTTCAGATGGAGAGCTTAAACGAGAAGATTGCATACATGCTGTCGCTAATTCCAAAGTCCCTTTCATCTCCAACGGCATCAACAAAAAGATGCCGGAGCCAAATATAGCGCCAACTGAATATATGATTTTGGGAGCAGAGCACTTTTGCATGTGGATTTGTTTGGACAGCCACATTACCAGGGGAGCAGACTCTAGGCCTGTTTTTAAAAGCAGCTTTTTAGCCACTGACATAAGGAACATTAACTCTTTGCTAAATAGGCCTGTGCTTCTCTGTGTAGAGAAAGGCAACAACATTGTCAGGGTTCTTTCCTGCTAGGATGGACTGTACTTGACACATTAAGTGGCTGTCGAAGTCTATTTGTCATGCGTATTTCCGATATCTGTGGTGAGTACTGATGAGTACTGCAGATAATTCTCGCTCGAGCGTTATAAAAACAAATCAGTTAGTTACATCTCAAATCTTCTTGTTTCTCATTTACAGACTTCTTGTATCTTCTGGTGGTAATCTTAATGTTTTTCACTCAAAACAACTTGAACATTAATGGCTGTATCCTCATAGTCTTAAAGCAGTGAGGGAAGTACCCAAGTTCTTACTACAGGGGGGGTTTACAACTTCACTTTTGTGTGGTTTCTCTGTTTGAGTGTAAATCTTCTGTAATAATACTTTCAAGTTCCAAACAAGATGTGCCTGGAGCACTAAGCATCAAAAACTGTCAAGCATTCAAAGTTGGCATCAGATGCTTTGTCAGATTCATAGTCTTGTTTACTTAATCATCATAATTTTTAAGTTTTAATCATTATTTTATTTAGGTTATGTTAAAACATTAAGCCGTGATGCATTTGAGGTTTGTCTGTTTTGTAGAAAACATGTTTATAATTCTCAAAGAAAGCATTTGAAAAACATATGTTGCAATACGATGCCAAAACTCATGTATCGTGTTTGCACTGGCATTGAAAATTTCAAGTGATACCCAGCCCTAAGAGTGACTGGGTTCAGGTGTTTTTCAGCACTGTTTCTGTTTTCTCCACAGGCACTTGGATGCTTGTTGTACAAGCTGTGTTTCTTCGCACTTCCATTTGGGGAGAGTCAAGTTGCCATATGTGACGGAACCTTTATTGTTCCAGATAACTCAAAATTCTCCTTCAAGTTGCACTGTTTAATCAGTAAGTTTGTGAGTTAATATGAATTAATGTCATAATGTGCATTCTAATGATACAGGAGTATATAATTACTATACGAGAATCACTTTCTGTCACTATTTAGTGAATCACTATTTAGTTTCATTGTTTGTTTTTTAAAACCAATGCATGCATGTATATATGATATGTATATGATGATTTATCTTTACTCTAGAACTGCTCTACTTGTACTTTTTCTGCCTTATTTTCAGTTTGTCTAATTATGAAGGACAACTGTAGAAAAAACGCGTTTGAGGTGGAAAACTTTCTCCCCATAATAGAACTTCACTTATAGTTATAGTTACCAACACAATCACACAAAATGCAGCACATAAGTTTCCAGTTTTCATTCTATATATTTTCTGCCAATAACTAGATTGTAATTTGCACCCACAATCTTGTTTTGCAGTGTTACTTTGACTGTTTGCTGGCTGTGTTCAACCCCAGCGTGATCTATAATCGACTTGAGTTTTGTTGTTATGCATTTACTTTAGCCTGTTTGAACCAGCCATGGACTGTCAGTCATGACAGCCTTGTTTGCTTTCAAGTTTTTTCACTTCCTTAAATGCATCCTGCAGTAGACCTTCCTTATAAATTAATTTGACCAACAGCTCCGCCAAGTGGCCAAAGACAGAAGATGCACATTAACCACAGTAAATCACACAGTGCTGTTCTGCACAGCGTGCTGTTTAAAGTGACCTGTTTGTCTTTTCCAGGATATATGCTCGAACCAGACCAGGAGAAGAGACCAGACATTTACCAAGTGTCCTACTTTGCCTTCAAATTAGCTGGAAAAGACTGTCCAGTGCCAAATCTCTTTGTAAGTCCCCACAGAATGAAGCAATCACTGTGGCTTTAGCCTTTACAGTTATTTTTATATTGACATATTTGTCTTTCCCTTTTTACAGAACTCTCCCATCCCTACGTCGCTCCCAGAACCTCTAACAGCTAGTGAGGTTGCTGCTAAGAAAAGCATGACAAAAGCCAGGTACTGCTTACTGCAGGGAGCAATGTTTTCTTATTTTTTGTCTCAAGATTCAGACAAGCACGGACACTGATCCTCAGCTGAATCCTCTTAATACATACTTTAAACAATTGACTGCGTTCAAGACATCTCATCCACATTATGTGGCCCTACTATTTATTATTTTCCCCATAAAACGGGTTTGTAAGGAAAATAAACATGTTTAAAGTACATTTACATTTTTCTTTCATTCCTACCACCATTTGCTACAGCAGAAACACTTTAGCTAAGTCTTTCTTTGAGAAAAACTTCCTAGTTTGTGCCATAAACAAAAGAACATACAAATTGCAAAATGTAATAATTTGTAGCTTATTTAAGCTAATGAAAAGGAATCCCTTTAAATTGCTGCTGAATTAAACATATATCTCAACAGAACAGCACATTAGACACCAGGAAGGTGCACAGCGCAAACCCTGCTGTACATACACAAGTTATTGGTATTATTAAAGGAAACTCAAACCACAAGTTTTGACTTTTTCTTTCTAGGATAACAGACTCTGTGGGCCCAACGGAAACATCAATAGCTCCCAGACAGAGGCCAAAAGCGGCAAACAGTAACGTCTTGCCTCTCGCCAACACTGTCACCCCTGTCAAGATGACCGTGCCTTCAGCACCCGTCAGCAACGGCCAGAAAGGTTCGTTAAACATTAGTGAGATTGCTATATCTATAGAACTTTCCATCATCTTGAAGATATGTTCATATCTCTATAGAAAAAACTGAAAAAATAGAGAAACTTCACATTCTGTATATAATTGCACAAGTTGTTTTACCACAGGAAGATACAATGTAAGTATCAGAAAACCGAACACCAAATGCTACAAGTTTGTTTAAAGGTGGACTAACTAAGTTGAAAAATGGCATTTCTGCAAAGTTAAACCTAGAATAAAATGAAGTTTATAATTGATTGTATTTTCAAGTATTATATGTTGTACATTTATTTTGTTGTGACAATAGTGCATAGGTTTGTATTCTCTAGCATTCAAGCTGTTTAACTTTTACTAGAGTACTTTGGATTTTTGTGTTTTCAAGATTTCACCAACTACAACATTTCCTTGAATTACCTTGAATTCTGAATAACTGAAAGTGATAAATTCACTTTCAGTTATTCAGTTTATTGTCTTTTTCAAACTCTGCTCAGTGTTGTGTTCTAAGTAATAAATCTAAACCTGTCCACTCAGCTCCCACTCCTGGCTTAGGGCAGCCATCCGTGCAGGCCCAACCCAGCAGTCAGCAGCACCGAGTCCTGCAGCAACTACAGCCTGGTGACCTGCGTCTGCAGCAACTACAACAACAACAACAACAACAACAACAACAACAACATCATCACCACCAACAAGCAGTGCAGCAACAACATATAAATGCACAGCAACTCCAATACCTCCAGGTACATCCACCAGACTGACATACATACAACACATCATCGCAGGACTCAAAGTCATTACTCAACACTTTTCTGGGAGATATTTAATGTCCTCACAACATTCCTCAGTACCAACAGGCTGTGCAGCAGTCCATCCAGCTCCAGCAGCAGCAGCAGCAGCAGCAGCAGGCCCTCCTCCAGCAGCAGCAGCAGATGATGATGCAGCCGATGTACCAGCAGCAGGTTGCCCAGGCCCGGGCTCAGGCTCAGGCTCAGGCTCAGTACCAGTACGCAGCCATGGTGAGTTCTGTCAGAGATCTAAACCTGGAACTAAAGCTTCCAAGGCGAGAATTAGATTTGTGGTCTGCGCTAAAATGGACATCTATCAAATTGAATTTGCTTTTGTTCGCGTTCAAGCCCATTCAGGCATTTGAGGGATGCTTCTAACTCAATATCGTGACAGAATTTCAGAGCAGAAGATTTTATCCAAAACTGCAATAAATAGTTTGAGCAATTGACAGGGAAACACATGGAGACACAGCATGAAATAACACGGAGCTGAATATTTCATTTAATATCAGAATGCCCTAAAATTGCTCTCTCTGTTCCAAACACTGGCAGCCAGTTCTCTTCAGTCGAATCGCTTCATGTCTGTGCCAAGCCGCATTGGAAGCAGACGCTCAAACTTCCTACTGACTCTGTCCAAATATTCAGAAAACTAGTATTTACGCAGATACTGAATCAAACACACAAACACAGGTCCTCCAAATGCGTACTGTTAGGGCAGTGCAATTTTTAGTCTGTTTCCCACCGAACGCGTACCATCTGTTTTATTTCAGAGGCAATCTGGTCTGAGCGAAGCCACGAGGGGATCGAACAGAGGGTGAAATCGAGCAGTTTCCTCTGTGTTGCATCCTGACATATGAAGCAGTTCACAAGCAGGGGAAGAGAGCACCTCTCAAAATTACTGTTCTTATTCCCAAGATACCTGCTGTTTTAAAATCAGCGTTTCCTCTGTGATCTTAGACCTGCTTCTCATTGTGGTGAGGAAGCTTTGCTAAGTGACAGCAAATTTGTAATATGCTGTAATGACATCAGATCAACTTTATTTGTACAGTACTTTAAAAGCACAACAGTGGTGTGTGCAGAAGTGTTTTACTAATATGGTTTGTTAAGAAAACATGGAAAAAGCAAGCAGAGGATGGAGAAAAATTTAAAGAAACAAGAACTTGGTTAGAAGCAGGAAATAATAGCAACAGATAACAACAACAATAAGAGAATTCACATAACGATTGTTCTTATATTTCAAACAAAATGCATTTCACAATTGAATATGTGAGTTTTAGTCACTGAACAATACTGCTGGACCACTATGGTGTTGCCAGGTTTAAGTTAAAGTAGTTTTTTTGTGTGGCTGCAGATGCTTAAATATAAGAGATTTTAAATGTGAGCCTCTTTTGAAGAAGTCAGATCCATCAGAAGATGTTACTCTGGTGATGAAGCTGAAAGGAGTGTGACTATTGGAATCCAACTGAATGCTCCAAATTAATGCTAATCCTGCTCGGCTTCTGCTGAATGTGTAAATAGTTACCCATACAGCTGATAATACATTAAGACTGTTTATCAGTCGGCTTGTTTGGGAGTGTTTCTGCCCTCAAGTGGCCCAAAAATATTCAATTAAGATTGTCAGCCAGTGTTTGAGGTGATCCGTCATGCATTTGGTGCTTAGTTAATTTGTTAAGTTTGGTGTCCGATGTGCTGTTTGACTTTCATTCCTTCATCCCTCCCTTCCACTGTGTCCCCAGCTTTCCAAATCCAGAACTGGTTTCTAACAACATTTCATCATCTTGTTGCCATCATTGTGCGCCATGAAATCAAAGGTCCGTCCCTCATTCCCTTCCCCCTCTTCTCCCTCTCTGCCTTCCCTAACAGCTGCACCAGTACCAACAGGCTTTTGTCCAGCAGCAGCAACAACAGCAGCAGCAGCAGCATCATCCCGCTCAGCAGCCTCTCCCCTATATGTCCTCCCCTCTTGAGTTCCAGATCCCGCTTGGTTCCTATAATGCGACCACGCCCACTGCTGGAACTGTAGCTGGAACTGGCCAAATGGGGGGACCGTCACCTGTTGATTCCTCATACACTAACCCTAGGTAATGTCCCTTCAACTTATCATATTGTGGGACATGTACTTGTTCATGAGGCAGGCAGGCAGGCAGACAGGCAGGCAGACAGGCAGGCAGGCAGGCAGGCAGGCAGGCAGGCAGGCAGGCAGGCAGGCAGGCAGGCAGGCAGGCAGGCAGGTAGCTAGACAGACATTATGGCCAGCCAATCAGCCTGGCTTATTACAGGCCTGGGACTTTACAGATACCAGGTAGAGCATTTGATTTATTGATTTCTGGTGGGATGTAAAAATAATTTCAACAAATATAACAGAAATGCTTCTGAACTACATTACCTAGCCTTACTTGGACATTTGTTCCTTCTGCAAAGATTTAACTAACTTTGTATGTTTACCCAGCCACTATTGCCTAATTCAGTAATGAGATTTTTAATTTTTTTTTAAATCAGTACAATATGGTCTAATTTTAAGCAATTATGTTATCTGTCCATGTTCTACGGGCGGTTTTGGAAAACATCTCTTGCAGACTTTTACTTGGGTCTTTACTTGCAACTTAAACGTCTGGATTTAGGTTTTGGGTATCATCTTACAGCCTTAATACTGAAATGTGTGCCAAAGCTGAATACTACCCATAACAGGTTATCACTGTTGTACTGTCTCCACAGTAGAAACTCTCTGCTTACTTCAGATGGGATTACGCCACCCTCTCAGAGCTGCAACAGTACAGTCAGTAACCCCCCCGATATGTCCGGTTGGAACCCTTTCGGAGAGGACAACTTCTCCAAGTTGACAGAGGAGGAGCTGCTCGATCGGGAGTTTGACATGCTCAGAGCAAGCAAGTGACCCCTTCAATGATTTTGTTATAGAGTTTGTCAATTATTTATATCTCGGTGAAATTTAATGGAAGTGATTTTATTTTTTGGAGCAGATACATTTGGTATTTTCTTATGAACAACCCAGCAACAGGTTTTCTTGAAAGAAAAACATTTTGGCACTTGTAACTATGATTGTTTATTACTGTCTTTCTTTTGCTGCTGAACCAGATAGAGATGAAATATTTCTAAAGATTTTCTGTCCGTAAACTTTAGAGGATTTTTTTGTCTTGGACTCTCTTAATGCTTTCTAGTTTAGTATATATTGTCACAACCGTGAGCGTTTGTCTCGGGTTCAGTAGAAGGAGGTGTTTGAAGAAAAATCTCCTGTGACAACCGAAAAAAAGCATATAATGGAACCATTTCTTCAGTCCATAATTACAAGAGACTTTGTGTTGATGTATCCAGAGGTCCATGTATTTAAAAAAAAAAACCTTGCGTCATTAAGTGTCATAGCTGTAGATGATCTAAGTATCTTCCCGTCTGTGATCTTCAACATACAGATAAACCAGTGGAGAGAACAGCCAGTGTGGAAACGGACCAACCGCAGCCTGCTGCCTCCACTGCCAAGCCCCTCCCACCACAGGACCTGTTCGGCTCAGTCCCGTTTGTGGCCAGCGCAGGCAAGTCTTAGAGGAGTCTCTACCATGAGGACCCAACACTGTGGAGCCACCTGCCCCCCTCTCTGCCCTCTCCTGCCCCCTGTCCAGCTCTGTTCCCACCTGACCTCCAGTCAGGAGCTCCTATGCCACACAGACCCCCCCAGTGGGGCATTAAAAAAACAATGATTAGTCAGATTATTGTTTCGTTTCCCAGTGTCCACTTATCAGAGGTCGATTAGTTGGCTTCAGTCTAAAATATAATGATAACCTGAGCCAAGGCTCAGCTCTTCTGTGACTAAATTTGGAAGAAAAGCAGGAATAGCAGGTTCATCAGTGAAGTGGTAAAAGCACTTTCTGAATTCACTGCAATCAGTGGCTTTTACTGTGGGGCTTTCTAACTACCCTGCTGTAACAAACCTTTATGCAAGTCAGCTGGAAGAAGTGTTGAGTCTCCTCTTTAGGGCACTGGGGGATGCAAGGCACCTACTCTGCAATGGTTCGGTGTTACATTCCTTGTGTAGATCAAAATGGCTGGAGCAAGGTACTAACATATAGAGGTCTGACTGTGCAGGCTAAAGAAATATGTGCTTATGCTGAGTCGATTTGCGTAAAATTACAATTTTCATTTCAGTGCATTAAGAAAAGAGCAAAAACTTCCAACTCACTGTGTCCAACAAGGACAGCTGGATAAGGTTGCTGTAGTTCCATCAACACTAAAAGCAATATGAACATAACAAGGCAACCTGTCCATGTAAAGAACATGGTTGGTACTAATTTGGGCTGAGTGATGTCAAATTCCATAACGATACACACCATAGAATGTAGTTGTCCCTTACTGGTTAAAAAAATGAAAACATGCATAGGCCATCTAATTAAAAGCCACGGCTTTGAACAAATGTCAGGAACCATAAGCATTGAATCGTATGTTTGTTGATTTCTAATGGCTTATCATGAATGTGTATGGTTTCGTAATATTTGGGAATAGAACTTCACAGAACGTATTAGAGCACCATGTGGAGCCGACATTGATGGAGTCCTGTTCCTTATTGAGTGTGCACCCGGTGCTAAACACTTTATTTGACTTGCAGCTTCTGTCTTAAAAATGGTAGACTTTGTTTCTAACAGTTCCCCTCTTTGGTTGTATTGTGCTTTCATTCCAGCAGAAGTGGATGTACGTTTTAGAATCCGATCATTTGTGCCCACTCCTATTTTCCCTCCCAAAGTAATTATTTCTCATGTTTACTAGCTATCTCACACTTTCTACCTGTGTTGAACCTATTTCAGGTGATCTGGCTCCATGTCAGGCATGTGATCTTTGAATGATCATATATCAAACTAAGGTGACTCCAACATATGAAATGACTGTCATGTGATTCCTCCGCACACTCATGTCTCAACCCAGCCACAAAGTCTAATAATTCTACATTATATCATTTATAGTAAGTCCCAATTCATTTGGTAAAAAAACCTACAAAATCATCTCTTACATCACGTTGTCCACATCCACGATGTCTGTCGCATATCATTTAACCCAAACATCGCTCAGCCCTGGTACTAATAAACCCTGTTCGGGGGGGAAAAGACAACACTTGAACTTCCAAAGTTGTGGCTCTTTGCAGTTTGTTTACATTAAAACACCATCGACCCTCTTCGGCCATTAAAACTGCAATGCAACGAATCCTCACAAATGACAAAATTGTTTTTTATTGTTGTGACAAAGCCTCAAATGTTCTTGTGTGGACTGTGCACTTTACTGTGGAGGCCGATCTTAACACTCTTATATAACCTGATTAATTAGTTCTCATTTGGCTTAACTAACCAGTCAGACTGCATGTGGTTTAACCCCAACACAGATCATAGTCTGGTATAACATGTGAATATCACAGTGCAGTATTTCTACATATATTACATCAGTGGCAGCAATAAGCTTCTGTGCCTCTGTACTCTTCCTGCTCCTTAAATGTGAATTGGTTACATTTTGATAGGCAATTTAGAAATGCTGTTTGTAACTCATAGACTAATGATACACAGTATCAACGCTAAAACACTTACAGATTTTCTAGAGGAGAGTAGTGTTTTTGTTTTTTTCTACAGTAAATTCATCTCGTGTCCTTGAACATGCAGGCTTAATGCAAGTCCAGTGGCTACAGTTTAGAGTAGAATAAGACGAGATAATGATGCAATATATCCCTCTAAGCACTTGAATGTAGGTGTGGAAATATTTTATTGTCTTCACTTGTTACTTAATGAATATGTAATTCTATTTGAGTTCAAATTGGATCAAAGGAAAAACCAAAAAAAAAAAAAAAAGAAACCAAACTGATTGAAGGGACTTTTGTAACGAATTTAAAACCCAGAAAGGTCAAATAAACCCACTGTGCTGGGACTGGGTGTCATTCCTGCAGGCTGGCATGAAAAAATGTGCAACTAATTTTTGATCAGCCTTTTAGCTTCCTGTGTTTGTGCCATCACAGTGTGTCAGTTGGTTATTTAGGTTCCGGGTGAGTTTTTTGTTGTTGTTGTTGTTGTTGTTAAATTTCATTGTGTAAACGCACCGCTAGCAACTTTTAAAGACCACCCTCTTATTAGCATAAATGAGCTTTAATCAGCTTTTATTTTCTGTCGTAGTGTCTCTGTGTACTTATGTGGAGGAACTTTGGTCGACATGGCAACACCAGTGTTTGATTAGCAGTTTTACTTTAAGTGATGGCAGATTTCACAGAGACTGAGCTGCTGTAACAGTGCTTTAGTTCAATAATTTAAGGCCCATCCTCTCAAACCATTTCCCCTTTTTACTGTGCTTCTGTTTATAAAATACTAGAGTCCTACACAGTATGACGTCCCACATCTGCAAACCAATCAGAGTGCAGCATGTCACAGAATACACTGATGCAACATTGTAAGTGCCAAAAAGAAAATCTGTGCCAGCACCAGGGATGTATTCTAAGACCGTTCCTAATTAATCCTGGACTTGAGTTGGAGTTTCGGTTTTGTTTTGCTGTATTTTCAAAATATGAGAGCAGTGCAGATGGACTTTTCTTGTGTATTTACACAGGCTTTAGCCAGCTCACAGTGTGACATACAACAAACCTGCAAGATGGCTGTTGAAGCATGATGTATAAGGGTCTTTAGACAGAAACACATTCTTAGGCTCCACCCACAGAGGCTCTGTCTCTGAGCAGTATCTGGTTAATGGGTAGAACTGAACTATTTCTGACTTTGGTCCTAGTGGTTGTGGCAGTAATGCAGCAATAAAAAGTCCCATTTTCTTTTGCCATTACAATTGTCAACTAGCTACCATGCAAGTCAGGACAGACAGTATGACAGCAGTTAAAGTTGCTGGTGGTGTGGCTGCACATTTTTATTTAACTCCTCTTTTTATTTCAGTTAATAAGCATCAACCTTTTTTAGAATTGCAAAGGTTTCTTTTATAGTGGAAGTCGTTCGGTTTCCATTTCTAGATTCAGAGTGCCTTTGTGTGGCATTTTGATTTACCTGACCAACAACACTGAGACAGCTTTTTTTTCCTTCTCCCACAGTGATTACAAAATGACACTTTTGTGAGCGTTGACATTAAGCTGAAGCATCAAATGTTTAGTGGAATTGAGCAGCAGTTGTGTTTTCCCTTAGTTCCCAAGTTTTGTTTAGAGGAAAGACATTATTCCCACTAATGTAGGTCTGCTTAATGGGACTTTGATGACACAACTTGGTACTCTAAACTGCGTCAGTTTCTCTTTTTTTTTTTTTTTTCAACTGGTTGATGGCACATTCAGTAGTGTAATGTAAATTGTTGTGCTGAAAGGAATGCTTGTTGAGAGTGTGCTGATAATTTCTGTCAAAATGGGGAACATTTTGATTTGTTTTTTGAATCCATACAATCCTAAAGGGCTGTATGTTTGTTAATTCTCACTGTGCTGCGGTTATTCTGCCTTAGAGCAGCAAGTGAGAAAGTGACCCATCTTAGTCATCCATGCAGACATGAATCAAAAAAAAGATATATATCTAAACAGGTAAAATGTAAATCATGTGTTTAGCTGAAGGTAAGTTTGGAAAAGAGTTAATGTTACTTGATGCTTCTGTTCCGCTCATATCACCGCCTGCTTTTATTGGGCCTTTGTGGAAAAACCTTGCTTCATTTCAGTTCAGTTTTGTTTTTATTATTATTTGCTTTGTTTCTTTTCATCTTTCATTTAGTAAGACAGCCATACTCAGAAACATCTTGTTCATGTGTATTGGTGGATGGATCTATAGTTTGAAAAGGCGAACCATCAAAGCCAAAAAGAAAAGTGAAAGGGACGACCAGAGCCATTAACTGCACTTTATTTTCTGTTTTTAAAGTGCGAGAAAACGTGAACCATTATCCCAGGATTCGTGGGATGAACAAGCAAACATAGACATTGAATATGTTGTTATATATTGTTTACATTTGCAAGTTTTCTGTGCTTTTACCTCTCTGTCTCGGGGTCTGGTTTCTCCCCCAGTCTTAGAATTTTGTTGTCAGCTTTATATCCTGCTAGAAGCCTCAGAACACATCAGTAAAACTTTGGGAACTTTTTAATTTAGGTGATTCTCATTAAAAGTGTTGAAAGATGCCACCACTCTTCAGTTTTAGCTATCAGCAGCTCCTGGTACCGCTCCTGCAGAAAGAATAAAACCTATAGATCCATAAATTGTCTCATACATATCTTGTTTTTGCAACAGACTATGTAAAAGGTCCTGTATCATACTGTGAGTGTGAATGTATTTCTTTATAGAATGTTACTGGTAAATAAAAAACATTCAAAATCAATATTCACTTTGGTTCCTTTTTTATAACTCTTTAAAGTATTGGAAAGTTTAGAGTCTCTCCACCACTACACCACGTACAAGATGTTCCTGTTGTGAACATGGCTGTCTTTGTTCTCTGTTCCAATCAAACTCCAACAAAACCAAACAGGTTTTATTGGACCATAGGGAAGGTGATGCTAAAAAAAAAAAAAGCACAATTATGTTGACAAACAGATGTGTGACACCTTTTAACATAGCAGCTTACTCTGAGATTGTTTAGCATCCACTGATAAACCAGTTCATTGTGGTATATAGTTTAAACTGTTTTTTTTCCTCCAAATATCGTCTAACAAGGAGCCAGTTCCCGGTTTCATGGCCTTATTGAGATGATCTCAATTTCTTCATGTGAATCTCTAATTGTACCCTCCATTGTCTCCTCCTGTCTGTAGTGTTATTTCACTTGTGCATGATTTATGACACACAGTCAGTTTATAGATGTCTCATTCAAATAGTAATATCAGAAGCTCATTTTTAAGACAGTAAAAATCTAAAACGCTTCAATTATGTCTGCGAGTACACCTCAAATTTAGATTGCAACATATTGCCAACTGGGCTTTGAAATATACATTTCCAAAACAATATTGAAGCAACTTGCATAAATAATTCACATTCTCATTTTGAATTTGAATAGTCATTAGAAGGACATTCACGTTACCAAGCTGTAACTTAGCGAGTGATCAAATATACAGAGCAGCTTGTTAGACAATAAGATGAGATACAGTAAAAAGCCTAAAAAAAGATTGTATGATGTACTGTAGAGTGACAGGGAGAAGTGGTAGAGGTTCAATATTTCTCTCCTTTACCAGACCTTATGTAAGTATGAATTCTGTGCTGTGACCTCAAACAGGCTCATAATTCATTTTATATTTAAATCCATCTAATCCTGTTATTCAACCCTGAACAGACCGGGATTCAGTGTGTTTGTCTCAACCACTTAATGTATACAGTGTCTTTATTAAAATGATTTTAAATTGGGGTCAGACAGTTTTACAATGACTGGCTGACAGGGAGGAAAACTGCTAATTTAATGCTGGAGAAGCTGATAAAAGGGATGATTAGAATTTTCTGCTTGATTATTGACTTGGTCTATTTTCTGCTGACTTATACAGTATAATTCATCATTTTGACCAACTACATGATTAACATTTTACTGTGAACAAGACTATTTATGTAGTACATAATAGTGCATATTATTTTAGCAGTCGTGTGTTTTGGGTAACGATTTGGTTCAGAGTCACTCAGTATTGTAAACGTTGGCCTTTCTGCAGCTTCATCAAATCAATCTAGGTTCAGTAGTTGTTGCGTGAGGGAAGAGACTTCTGTAAGCTCCAGCCTGCTGTCAGGCATTTCTAACAGATTTTATCTTTCATCAGATAAGAGAACAATCAGACGCATGTTTTCACCACTTATTTGTATCTTTAAGAGATCAGACGCAGCATGTAATCCTTCAGCTTTTACCCAAAGGAACATCGACAAAACAAATCTGTGTGTCAGTCTGTCATCTTCTCTCGTGATTAAAGATGTGAGATTGTCTCACCCTGGTGAGGTGATCATGATTACGAGTTATAATCTGGGACCAGTCGTGTGGAGCGAACAGATGCAGAGCACCTCATGTTTGCTGTATTAATATGTTTTGTTCCAGTGACTTTCTATCTTTTATTGCTGCCTTGTTTCATTTATCAACAACAAAGCTTTTGGCTAATCTGTCATCACGTCCTGCCAGTTTGGATGGTTGAAGACGCGGAGAGGTTTCCATTTTCGTGTTCACAGCAGGGGGTCCTTTTTCTGCTTTCTAATGTAGAGCTTCCACTAATAGGGAACAATAAATTGGCTCATTGTGCATGGCACAACTTATTTTCAATATAATTGGAGACTATCCACTTGCTAATTAGGCTAATTTCTAAGTTGTCATTATGCAAATCTCTTGGAAATACATTTACACAAAGCAAAGTTTTCAGCAAATGCCAAATATGCATAAGAATTTATAGAAATGTTGAAGTAAGGAGTAGTAATTGTAGAACAAAGCTTTATTTTATTTTTTTAAGTCTAAATGAGGTGACTGACAGCTTAAATCTTTTCACCAAGAGATTTAAATTTAAAAGCAACTTAACTTTGTGAATCTTTAAAAGCTGGGCTGGGCTGGGCACATGTCTTCATCCTCTAAGCCTGCTCCTCTTATTGCAGGGTCAGAGTAGAGAGGTCAGAGAAGCTTTAAGACCATATTGAGTTGTGTGAATTCTCCTTCACTGCTCTTTCTGCTTCAATATTGGACAAACTGTTTGGAAGTCCACAAATCCAAATCCTAATATAAGCCAAGTAATCCACATATTACAGAGGTCAAAGAGGCCACAAGACGTTTTTAGGAAATGAAAACTTGTACTTCTGGCATCAAGAGCCTCCCTCTGTCACTCATCTTGTTATTTAAAACATCCAAAATCTGCAAGAGTGTGAGGTTAAAACTTAGCTTCAAACAAATGTCTACTAAAATGCACATTTGTTTGAGAATATTAAAAAGAGAAGAAGACTGGGAGCATCTTTAACGCTCGCATTTCTGTCGTTTCTGCAGGCACCGATGTGATAAAGACTGAGCAGACCAACGACGAAGTCAGCATTCCTACCCCCGTCTCAACCACTGCACAAGATCTGCAGCCGGCGACGGTCAAGGAGCACAAACCAGGCAAAAAGAGTAACTGCAGACCAGGCGAAGAATCCGACAGCGACTTCGAGTCTGACCCTCCTTCACCAAAAAGCAGCGAGGAAGAAGAGCCGGAGGAGGAAGAGGGCCTGAACAGCGAGCACGGTGAAGACACTGAGCCAGAGAATTTAGGACAGAGGCCTCTGCTGATGGACTCTGAAGAAGAGGGAGAGGAGGATGAAGACAAGCACAGCTCTGACTCGGACTACGATCCCAGCAGGGTCAAGAGCCGCTCAAAGAAGGCTCCGGCAGGTAAAGCAGCTTTGGCCGCCACCAGAAAGAGTCCTCGGGAGGATTCTGGCATGACTCTGATCACCCCTCCTGAGTCGCCCAGTGGAGCGAGAGCTGCCCCAGGTGTGGATCCTGTGGATGTTTTCGGTGCTGTTCCTTTCCTCAAAGGAGCCTCACCTGTCGGGCCTCCAGAAAGCTCAGACATCTTTGCCAAAGCGCCATTCAGGCAAGTTAGCCTTGAGCAGAAAGCTGGGGACGAGTTTGATGTTTTTACCAAAGCGCCATTCAATCGGAACCTCTCCAAGTCAGGCAAGAGTGGCAGTGATGTTCCCATGGGGCAAACACCGCCCATTTCCCCCGAGGGCATTGATATCTTCGGCTTCTCTCCCTTCCAGCCGGGCCCCACCGATCCGCCTCCCACCACCTCTAGAAGTGCAGAAGATATCTTCCACACGTCCTTTGAGGAGTCAGCCAGCCCTCAGCAACAGCGGCTGAAGCAGCGCAGCCTCCAGAAGCTGTCATCACGCCAGAGAAAAACCAAGCAGGAGTCCACAGCAGGCGGCAGCAACGGCAAACGCCACCACGGTACGCCAACTGGAGGCCGCAAGACCAACAAGCCAACTTACCGCACACCAGAGCGAGTTCGCAGACACAAGAAGGTTGGCCGGAGAGACTCACAGAGCAGCAATGAGTTCCTTAGCACCTCTGACTCTAAAGAGAACATCAGTGTTGATATAACCATGGCTGAAGGGAAAGAAAAAGGAGCTTCTCTGCCGGTAGATGAGGCCCTTTTAGACCCATTTGGAGCCAAACCTTTCCATCCTCAGGACGGCAGCCGACACGGCCAGTATCAAGGACTCACTGATAGCAAGAGTGACATGGGCACAGCCAATGGCAAGTCCTGGACTGGTTCTCTTCACGGTGCTCTCGGAGAAAGCAAAATCATGGATGATTTTGGGGCGGTGCCCTTCACAGAAATGGTCCACGGTGGACCGCAGCAGCAGCAGCAGCAGCAGCAGCAGCAGCAGCCGCCACCGCCCTCGCAGCTGGTGGAGCTCGACCCTTTTGGACCTCGGAACCGTTTGGAGCTAGACCCGTTCGGAGCTGCACCTTTTCCCTCGAAGCAGTGACTTCTCCTACTCTGCCAGTTGCTGTTAAATAACCCCTAAGCTTTTTTCGTTTTTGTTGCTTGGGAACAACCAATCATAAACCAAGAAGCTAACAATGCCCTAACACTTCTTTTTTTAAAGAACATTTTAATACATCTCTCAGTTTCGATAACAAAAATCCCGAATCCTGTGGAGTTTGTGATGTTTCCACATATCTTTCAGCTGTACCTGTTTGCTGAGAAGCCTTTAATGCTGCATCCTTAACGCTTGTAAAGACGTTTGAACCGGGAGAAATGGAAAACCCACTCGAAGTTGTACTGTGATTTTAAGCTTAATGTTTGACTGCTTGACTCTCTGCAAAAAGCTCTATGGCCTGCCTTCTGATCTACCAATGTGTTTTTTTTTTAGCACCACAAAGCCTTACTTGAGCTGGGCTCTGCCTTGCTGCACAGTACCTCGGAAAAACCACAGCACAACCGGCCTGCGTCGCCTTTCATGTCGGTGGAATCGATTGGGAGTCGACCTTAACCACTTCGTTTTGTCCTTACTAGACCTCCCTCTATGCATAATTTCACAGTAGTCTTTACGCAGCCAGATGTGGCTGTTTTTTGTGTTGCATTACACTTCGAATACTAGAAGGGATCTCATTTTATTGTACTTCCATAAAAAGTTGGATCTGTTAATTTGGTCAGGTTTAAACTTAGGCTCTTAACTGTTTTCTTTTTTTCTAGCTGTAAGCTTCTATGTAAGTACTGTTAACTTTCTTTTTTATTGAGTTACAACTCAACACATTCTGTTAGAAACAAATAAAACACAAGACACAACACAAGGTTTACTAGGTTTACGTTTTAAGAACTTCGACCCTTACAGAAACTGGCAGGCTGTACCACTATTTTCTCAGCAATGTACATGCTCCTAACATTAGATGTCATAATGTTTTCAGAATAATTTGTGCTTGAAAATATTTCATTGCACCATTGTTAAAGGATGAGGCTGGTGGTGGTCCATATATTTTGTTATTGTCAACAAATTCCATAAAATGACCAAACACAACAGTGTGTTAGTCCATCTCAATACTTATAAACAAATTTCAATAACTTAGAAATAGTTTTGATGAATCATGTTTACTGAACTATGCTTATTTCAGAAAAAGAAAAAGAAGTTATTTTACCCGCCCAAGAAATAGTCTACTGTAATGGATTTTGTTACCCTTGTCAGAGACAGGCTAGCAGTTTCCCCCTACTTTCAGTCTTTATGCTAAGCTAAGCAGCTTCATAGTGAAAAGATAGACGTGAGACACGAATGGTTCTTTTGGATTCACACACAAAATACTAGTCACAGAATTGGTTTGTTATTGGTTTTGGTCTTTTCATGTGATTTGCTGACAACAACAATATGGGATACCATCAGGTATTCTTTGACACAGATCTTTCCACTGCAGAATGTGAATTGGCGTATTCATAAAGGGAAGAAACATTGAAGAGTCTGTCATACAAATTCAGGTCATTTGTCTTCAGGAGTGCAGTTTTCAGTGCCGAATTCTTCCATGAACTTTTCCGTTGTGCTCTACATTGGCGGCCTTAAGCACTGCATATACCTACACACCCATTGGCACATTTGTTTGAACCTGCAGGTTGCTGTGTTTTCACCAGTGGAACCATTTGATCCAACTATTTTCCACCCCTACCACCACCACAAGGGTAAATCTTATATTGTATTTATCATGCTATACTGCTGTTTGATGCAATAAAAAAAAAAAGAGTCATCTCAGTTTGGCTTGAGGTGGATGCTGTTGAGTGGAATTTAAAACAAAGCAGTTTTACACTTTTTAAACATGGTTAGTTTTATTCAAAGTCAAGTTCAGCAGTTTGATTGCTCAGGTATGAAAAGTCAAGATACAAAATTTCCACTGCTACAAAATGAGTCTTAGACACAGCTGATGTCTCTTAGAGCTTATCAAAGACAAAATGTTGTAGAGAATCTATCACAGACCGTACAGAGCAGGTTCATAATGAATAATTTAAATACAGAACAAAAAGAATCTTAACACCAGAGAACACTTCCGGTCTAAAACTTAAAAACATTAAATATCACAGAGAAAACAAATTACTTTCATTCCAAAATGAGACTGCTACCATTTTACTGGACACCTATTGTCATTCAATGATGACACACAGAAATGCTGATGAGACATTATGAGACATTAAGACTCTTGCTTACAAACATCTATATTTGAGATTCACTTAAGATTTCTGTCCAACATGGATGTGTTGCATTTTGGAATGAAGACAAGTTAAACTACAACAGTCGACCTTTAACATTGCACATCACCCTAACAGAGCAGGAGAAAAAGTACTGAGTTATTATGTCTAAAATAAATAAATAAAAACCGTTTCAGTTTACCAACAGTGGAAGAATCTCTTGGTAGTTCAGGCAGAAACAGCAGTTTCCAAAAACAAGTCTAATGTAGTTGGAACTAGTTTAATTTGAAGAAAAAAAACCAAAGTAGTGAAGTGTAAATGTATAGTAGATAATAACAGGGCCACACAGTACACAGAAATGTTGCAGCTGCAACATGAATTGCAATGCATGCAGATTTGCAAAATGTTAAATCAGTGTTTTGATTCTTAAAAACAAGGTGTCCTGACTTTAAACTTATTTTAAATTGACAGTATTTACAGTAATGTACACTTAAAATTGCACATATGTAGAAAAAGATCGATTGATTTTTGAGCACAGCGATGATGGGCACTGTTGAAATGGAAATGTTTCTTACTGCTGTAAAAAAAAAATTAAGTAAAAAACAGGATACAGTAAATGTATGCAAATTAAAAAAAAGTTTAAAGTTAAGAATTGGGACACAGTTTAAAGGCCTAAAAGTCTCGCTAGCAGCCCCTGGAGGCCAAGCTGCTACGTAACACCCAGAAAATCACGACTCATCGTTTTAACAAGCCTCAACTTCCACTGGTTAGTGCTGGAATTTAATACAATAAAGCTGTGCGGGACAATTTTATCTGTTAGGTCATTCTGCACAGTTCTTAATAAACTACATTGCTCTGATCTAAGTGTCAGTTTGAACACAGCGGCCGTGCTGCCCAACACAAGACGACATTCCTGGATCATCAGGTACTAACGTGCAGTTCATGAGTCCTAAGTACATTTCGCCTTCCTACACTAACACAATCTGTTTGTCTCACTCAGCAGTAAGAAACAGAAACACCAATACTGCTCACACTAAAGGACAAAATGAAAACTGCAATAGAAACTGATGGAGATAACACTGAGCTTTGCTCCAGAGCCCCGGCTCTGACTCTTTGGTTTTTCTATCTAAACATGAATTGTGTTGAAAAGATACTGGTTCGTTTTTGCTTGTTTTCAAGTACCTCACAGTTTCACCACAAACAACTTTTAGTAGTTTTTAAACAAAAGAAGAAATGATCGTTCTCGGCAGCTCTCAACACTGAACAGATTTGTTAACTCACGTGCACACATACTACAGCATATAACTGTGCACATTGGGGACACCGACACCTAAAACATTTCATTTTCCCTTTTAAGGTCATTTTACTTAATTACTTACTGAAGGAAGTCTAAAGGCAGTTAACCTAATTTTTTCAAAGAGCAAGCTGTCTGTAAAAGCATCATCATAAACTGGAAATATATTTAAAATATACTTTTTGGGGGGAGGGGGAGGGGGCACTGCCTTATAAACCTTAATAATAAATGAATCAGTTGAAATCTTTTGCATTCTAGGAGAAATGCACAAGTTCACACAAATGAAATTAATTTAACAAGTGCTACATGATGTTTCATTTACAGGCACTTAAAGAAACGTAAAAATGCTACTTGATTAAACCTGCCAGCCTTGACTGAGTCTTCTTTGTGGCTACATCTGTGATGAAGAGGAGGGTATGGAAATTTGAACGCAGCGCAGTTGCTTCAATTTCAGGAGATTTTCTACTTATAACTGCAGAGTTTGTGTGTTTTGTTGGTGACTGTGGTAAAGATGAGTTTGAGCCACTGTGACAGTTTACCAACAATCACTCAAGAGGTCCTGCTCTAACAATATAGACTCGCCGTGTGTCATCTCACACCATGGAGGTCACAGGTCTGATTCCCGCTTCCAGAGACACGGGTGTACTGAAGACACTTGCAGGTAAGAATATGTCCGTCTGTGGTGACACTGAGATGGACTGAAGGCTTGTCCATGGTGTCTCCCTGCCTTCCACCTGTACATGCTGGAATATGCTGCAGCCATCCACCAACCTAAAGAGGAAAAAACCGGTTTAAACTGAGTCAATCAACAAATACATTTATCACATGATCATCATGAGAACCAGGGCTGATAATACTTTGTTGGTACCTACGGAGTGTGTTCTTACATGTTTTATCCCTTTGATGTCAGTTTCTATGTGACTTTACCCAAACTGATGGTTTGAAGCCTCTCAGTCACTATCATACACATGCATATGAGACAGGAGACTCCCCCATACTTCCACTAATCGTCCTATTTTCTCTCTAAAATCTTACTAACAACTGTTAATCTCCTCTGTGGTTATGTACACGACCTTTGAGTCACAACCCAGTCCAAGTGTAAACCAGTGCAATACAACTGATCAGCAAATAAAACCTGATTTCACTAAGGTACAGCGTTGAACTGCTGCCCTCCACCAGGAGAAACTATAATATTTAGACAAAGTTTGTCCCAGAATAGTTGAGAAACAGGAGAAATATGAAATATATTCTCATAGCTTTAAAGTAATAGAGCTGCTTACACTTCAATACAGTCAGGGATCCCAGCATGCAGAGCAGCATCCTAGGCGTGTTGGGGGACATCGGGGCAGGGCTGGCTGTGTCTGTACGCCATGATGAAGCACGCCGACTGGTGCCACCAGTAAAACATCAGCACCAGCAGTAGGTGCCACACCTGGTGACTGGAGCCCAGGTAGTTCAGCTGACCTGCAGAAGCATCAGAGGCGGAAAAGAGCGAAAATTAATCCAGAGTTACTGGGAACGGGAGGGTGAAGCGAGGGAGCTCTAATCTACACCACTAGATGGCACTAAAACCTAAACACTGGTCCTTGAAGTATGATTTGATCATTATTGTCTATAATGATGATGTACAGATATTTTGTGCAACCTAGAAATTTTAAAGACCTTGAAAACACCAGATGAGACGCACACACGCACCCCCCACACACACACACACACACACACACACACACACACACACACACACTTTTTAGCTCTAAAGATGCTTAAAATGTGAAACAAAATATTAAACATTTATGAAGCTGTTTGAGATCCATTTCCCTCCAAAAAGTAAGTAAGGACAACCATGAGCCTTTTGAACATTTCACTGGTCAGTATTACTGTGAGTTCTAAAGAACAGAGGAAATCAAGAAGTAGTCTCACCTGGGAAGTAGCGTTCAGGGACTTTTGAAACGTAGAAAATGAGAGCTAATGCAGCGATGAAATACATCCCCAGGACTCGAGGAACAAAAGCCTACAGGAAATAAATATTTATTTATTGTGTGCAACAAACATCAACTTGAATCAGTGACTCCTATCTGTGCTCAGTGAGTTATTAGTAGAAATAAAATAAGTAGAGAAGGGTGGTTCAGCACTATGTTGTCTCAGTCGAATTATTGCTTATCTTTTCCTAACTAAGTTTGGGAAGAAAACGAGGGCATAAATATTATTGCAGCTAGCAGTTTACTTTTAACACTGACATCAGTCAATAGAGATACTACACATCAATGCATCCTAGATTCTTTCCTCTGACAAATGATTTCAGCTTGCAGATTAACTTTGGTTAAATAATTAGGTTCACACAGCTCAAAATCAAATTTCCACTCAGACATACAGATTCAAAGTAGTGATAATTAACATTATTGGGACAACAGTGAGCATGCTCACCTGAACGAGCTCCGAGGAGAAGCCTCCGGTGATGCAGATCCAGTGGACAGTGGGGATGAGGCCGTATCCGGCCACCGAGCAGAAGATGAGCGAGCGCAGCTGCTTCCACTGCTTACTGAGGTAATGAGGGTGGATCTGAGCGAAGAAGACGGCCAGGATCATGGCCAGGACCGTCACCAGGTAAACCTGCCGCCAGTACTGCAGAGACAGGAGGGTCAAAGGTTAAATCACACCATCCACACATTTACAAACACACACTGCCTGTTTACGGTGAATACAGGGACACTTCTCTCTGTCTGTTTCCTTTACATGATGCAGGTATCTGCCAGAGGAGACTATAATATATACACAAACAGACAGACACACATTCACATTGTGTCAGAGTCAAACTGAAACCTTTCACTCTTACAAGAAGATGAATTCAAGGGTTCAAGAGTAGAAACAGACAGTAAAAGGAAGTAAATTCTATTACCTGTATTTAAGTCACTTTCATTAGGTTTTTGGACTTTTTAAGGACCTTTTGAACACCATGTGTATTGTTGTATTGATTTCAGCTTCTTTTTTAGTGCTCAAACAAATACTCAGTTTATCAACCAAATGAAAGTAATCACTAATCCAGCAAAAATAACAATTGTTGGCTCGGTCCATTTTCTGAAATGCTGCTTTTCTGTTTTATATTATTGTATTTCGGGGTTTTAGACTGTTGTTCAGACAAACAAATTAATAAAAGCTTTGGGCTCTGGGAACTTGCGATGAGCATTTTTCACTATCTTCTGATCTTTAATTAATCAAAGAAATAATACAAACTAATCAAGAATAAAAATGATTGTTTGTTGAGGTCCTCTGAGATC